GAGTTTTGTCTGCAGCTGCCAGGGGAGAGTGGCGGGGCTGCCCTCCTAGCAACTGTGGGGGAGCGGGGGAGCACCGAAGGTCAGAGGCAAAGGCTTGGCTTTCCTCCCTCTTCTTACTTTGCATCTTTTAAATTTAAAGCCCGGGGAAATGAAACACTGTCTCCCAGGGCAAGGTGCCAGACGACTGGTCTGCAAAAAAGATTCCCCAGGTGATCCAGGGTGTGTGTGCGCGTGTGTGTTCACAGCGCCACTGAGAAGCCCTGGAAGGACTAGTACTGAAGTAGACTGCCTCTGAGCGTGGAGGTTCTATCGAATCAGAACGGTAGCTCAGAAGCTTCAGTCAGGAGCAGAGCCTGAAGGACCCTGAAGGAGGAAGCGCCGGCTCCAGTGGCCAGCCCGCTGTTGGGGGGGGGGGGCGCCCAAGCCAGCCTCGCGTGGTTGCTTCACGGCCAGGTCCTGCTGCAAGGTCCCAAGGGGGGTGACTGACTGGGGGAGGCTTTGGTGCAAGACGGCTGTCCTTCCCCAGGAAGGCAGACTGGCGATCGATCGCCCCAAATCACGGCTGGTCTCCAGGCAACACGGCTGGTCTCCAGGCAACAGAGATCAATTCCTCCGGAGAAAATGGCTGCGTTGGAGGGTGGACTCCAAATCCCACCCTGAAGTCTCCAGGAACCTCCCCCCCCCCCAACCTAAAGCTGGCCACCCTACGGCAAGCCCACGGAGCCACTCTGCAGGAGCCCCAGAGACAGCCAGGCCCCGGGCAGGCCATTCACTCAGCGCCAGCCTGCCCACTCGGCCCACCTGGGCAATCGGCCAGGGTGCCCCAGCAGGGTCACGGAAAGAGGCTTGCCAGTGGCCGGCGGCAGCCCTGCGTGGCCCCCAGCCCGCCAGGCCCAGAGGAAGGATAGGAGAAGGGCAGCCCACCTCCGCCGTCCCCCTGCATCTCGGGGCCACCCGGGGTGGGTGCCCCCTACGGGGAGGGTGGCTGGTGTGCAGCAGGCCGAGGGCACCAAATTTGCTAGCCACCTGGGGGGCCTACAAGCTGGGCATGGAGGGCGAGGCCTTCCCTGCTGTTGTGGCCCCCCCAGCGCTGGAATCCGAGACTCAAGCGCATCAAGTGAAGCTAGGGGTGCCAGCGCCCAGGTGGGGCCTGGGGATCCCCCGGACTTAAGAGAACTTCCTTTGCTTACTTTGGGGGACCTGGCAGCCCTAAGTGCAGCTGATGGGCAGGAGACTCGGGATGCACAAACCGAAACACTTCTTGACACTGACGGTGGTGACTAAATGTGGATGTGGTGATGGCCACAGGAAAGAACAGCTTTAAAAGGAGATGAGACAGATTCGTGGAGGAGAGGTCTACCCGTGGCTACTACTAACCATGGTATTGGTGACTGAGGGGACCTCCCCCTTCAGAGGCAGCAAACCTCTGAATCTCAAAGCAACATCAGGATATCAGATCTCAGCCTCCCTGCCCTGTTGTTGGCCCTCCAGAGGGACTGGCTGGCCCCTGTGTGAGGCGGGATGCTGGACTAGAGGGACCCTCCGTGGTCTGACCCAGCAGGGCTCTTCTGAGGTTCTCATCAGGGGAAGGCCTCGGCCTCTCTGCCCTGTTGTTGGCCCTCCAGAGGGACTGGCTGGCCCCTGTGTGAGGCGGGATGCTGGACTAGAGGGACCCTCCGTGGTCTGACCCAGCAGGGCTCTTCTGAGGTTCTCATCAGGGGAAGGCCTCGGCCTCTCTGCCCTGTTGTTGGCCCTCCAGAGGGACTGGCTGGCCCCTGTGTGAGGCGGGATGCTGGACTAGAGGGACCCTCCGTGGTCTGACCCAGCAGGGCTCTTCTGAGGTTCTCATCAGGGGAAGGCCTCGGCCTCTCTGCCCTGTTGTTGGCCCTCCAGAGGGACTGGCTGGCCCCTGTGTGAGGCGGGATGCTGGACTAGAGGGACCCTCCGTGGTCTGACCCAGCAGGGCTCTTCTGAGGTTCTCATCAGGGGAAGGCCTCGGCCTCTCTGCCCTGTTGTTGGCCCTCCAGAGGGACTGGCTGGCCCCTGTGTGAGGCGGGATGCTGGACTAGAGGGACCCTCCGTGGTCTGACCCAGCAGGGCTCTTCTGAGGTTCTCATCAGGGGAAGGCCTCGGCCTCTCTGCCCTGTTGTTGGCCCTCCAGAGGGACTGGCTGGCCCCTGTGTGAGGCGGGATGCTGGACTAGAGGGACCCTCCGTGGTCTGACCCAGCAGGGCTCTTCTGAGGTTCTCATCAGGGGAAGGCCTCGGCCTCTCTGCCCTGTTGTTGGCCCTCCAGAGGGACTGGCTGGCCCCTGTGTGAGGCGGGATGCTGGACTAGAGGGACCCTCCGTGGTCTGACCCAGCAGGGCTCTTCTGAGGTTCTCATCAGGGGAAGGCCTCGGCCTCTCTGCCCTGTTGTTGGCCCTCCAGAGGGACTGGCTGGCCCCTGTGTGAGGCGGGATGCTGGACTAGAGGGACCCTCCGTGGTCTGACCCAGCAGGGCTCTTCTGAGGTTCTCATCAGGGGAAGGCCTCGGCCTCTCTGCCCTGTTGTTGGCCCTCCAGAGGGACTGGCTGGCCCCTGTGTGAGGCGGGATGCTGGACTAGAGGGACCCTCCGTGGTCTGACCCAGCAGGGCTCTTCTGAGGTTCTCATCAGGGGAAGGCCTCGGCCTCTCTGCCCTGTTGTTGGCCCTCCAGAGGGACTGGCTGGCCCCTGTGTGAGGCGGGATGCTGGACTAGAGGGACCCTCCGTGGTCTGACCCAGCAGGGCTCTTCTGAGGTTCTCATCAGGGGAAGGCCTCGGCCTCTCTGCCCTGTTGTTGGCCCTCCAGAGGGACTGGCTGGCCCCTGTGTGAGGCGGGATGCTGGACTAGAGGGACCCTCCGTGGTCTGACCCAGCAGGGCTCTTCTGAGGTTCTCATCAGGGGAAGGCCTCGGCCTCTCTGCCCTGTTGTTGGCCCTCCAGAGGGACTGGCTGGCCCCTGTGTGAGGCGGGATGCTGGACTAGAGGGACCCTCCGTGGTCTGACCCAGCAGGGCTCTTCTGAGGTTCTCATCAGGGGAAGGCCTCGGCCTCTCTGCCCTGTTTGTTTGGCCCTCCAGAGGAGCTGGTTGGCCACCGTGCAAGGGAGGACGCTGGACTGAGTGGACCACTGGTCTGACCCTGCAGGGCTCTTCTGATGTTCTTAGGTATAGTCATCACGGCTACTAGAAAGGTCTGTTTATGGCTTCTTAAAACAAAATTGTCTGGTCTCCTTTTGAAGCCATCTATAAGGACAGGACAACTCCTTGGAAACAAAACGCTCATGTAGCGGCCACTGTGGCACGAAGGGATTGCCAGAGGCCTTCCTGGAGGGGGGAGGGGGCCAGTGGGATGGGGTTTGCCGGATGCCAAAGGGACCGAATTCTTTCCTCGGCACCATCCCTGAATGGCCAGGGCAGAGTGGCTTGGGGGGGGGGCTCAACAACAAAGCCCCCCCTGCAGTGGGAGGAAGGCGTATGGGAGTCCAGGGAGGGCCCCATCAGCCCCTGCCCCTCCTGCTCTCTGCAACCCCCTCTCGTTCCCCATCGAATTAAAAGGGAATGGGAGCCCTCGTTTTCTCTGCACTGGAAGGAGACAAAAGGCAGGCAGCCAAAAACATCCCCCCCCGCCCCCCAGCCCTTTCACTTCCTTGACCTGAGCCTGGCCGGCCACCCCTGCTGGGGTCAGGGGCCTCTGGGGGGGGGGGCGCTGCTGCTGCTGCTGCTCCAGGGAAACTGGGCCTGGGGGAGGGGGGCACGCAGGCAAGCTGCCTCCACAGCCAGCAAGGGCCTCCTGGGAATCAGGACGGCTGTGGTGCGCCCCAGCCCTTCCCGTGTCCTCAGCGCCAAGCTCTGCCCCACACTCAAGAGTTCACTGGGGCAAGCCCGCGCAAGCAAGCCCAGAAAGGTGCCAGGTGACATCGCCGGCATGCCAAGCGGGCGATGAGTGGATTTTGTTGGGTTTCCAGGCTTCACGGCCTGCCCAGACAGAGCAGAAAGGAAACCAAGTGCCACCCACACCCTCGGGCCATGTCTAGCGGCTGCCTCCTCTCGGCCTCCCCCCTCCCCGGCCCTTGGCAGAGTAGAGGCAGGCTGTGGGATGCGGCAGGCAGACCCAGCTCTGCCAGGCCGGGCAGGTGTGGCGGGAGGAGTCTGTCCACACACCACAGGAGGGCAGGCGCCAGAGCGGTCGGCTTGACAAAGGCTTTTATTAGCGAGGGAAGGGGAGGAGGAGGAGGCAGTTCTAATTGAAGGCCCCACATTGCCCAAACAGGCAGGGGGGGGTGTGTCTTTTCATACAGGAGTAGCAATAAATACATCTAAACACCTCCTAACTACTGTGAGAGAAGACTGAGAAATGGTACACAAAGTCGCAGGAGCGGGGGGGGGGG